TTATTTTACATAAAATATATATGCTTTTGGCCTTACTTATCTTTTTGGTTCACTCTACATCAAATCAAACGGGTAGAAATCCCTAGGTGGTATTGCGGTTTACATTTACCTACTGGGCCTTGGGCCTTCTCCTTCTCTTTATCGTTCGACTTTAGGTTAGGTATTGTATTATTAGAGAATTAGTCCAAAAAAGTTAGGGCCCAAGTTCTTATGATCCATTCGGAATGGTTTTGGGAGGCCTAATTATATATATCTCTATGGGCATTTGGATCCTAACAAGAAGTCCATAAACTGTAACCTTAAAAGTCATATGATCTTAGCCGTCAATTATCTGGTCAAAACAATTGACAGTCAGAATTTTGTCGCAAAGGCCCAACAAAAACATTTGGGCCTTTGGCCTCTCTCGATCATACTTCGTCTTCTGCACCTCATTCCCATCTTCTCTTTGGATCAAATCAAGATACCAACATCATTTACGCCCTTCTCATTTTCTTCTCCAAAGTTCTCAATCTAGAACCATTCTTCAATCTTTCTGCTAATCTTTCCTTTTTCTTGAAAACCAAAGAAGTTCTTATTGATTAATTCTACCTCCCAAATCGAACCCTAGTTCAATCTCTTTCAACGTGCGTTGGAGAAGTTCTTTGTATTCAAAACCAAAACCCTGCAGGCATTTGTCAGATTACAATCTCAGACATGGCACCACTACCTTCAAAAATTTGCATGAGTTCATCAAAGCTGGCCCAAATGGCACAGCTAGAACTGAGGGTATCGAGGTACCAAGATGCAGTTCCTGTAATGGGTATTTGTAAGGATAGGTCAACATGCAAAAGGAGGTGATGAAAACCAACATCACAATTCAGTTCACAATTCAGCTCCTATCCCTATCTAAGGAGATGAAGTCACAGTTCAGCTTGCTGCCATGCAACAATAGTTCGGTGTTTTCCAATTAGTTTTGGCTCAGCTCTTAGCTTGGAATAATCTCGGTGATCCCCTCATTAATCTACTGAACCCAACTCAACAACCTCCAGTCCAACCACAAGAACCTCTTCCAGTTCCCCATAATGATCACCAGCACGCTCCTGCTCTTAGTGAGTCCTAGGGTCAGTCTCATGTGGCCCCAGTTTAGCAACCTTTACCTGATGATGTCACACGACATCTGGACAGTCTAGAAAAGATGGTAACCGAACAGCGAGGTGCTCCACCTCTTCATCATAACACTACTTTTATACCTCATCCTTTGAACACCAACATAACTTTGGAACCTTATCCTATTGGTTTCAAAATACCTCAGCTCGAGACATATAATGGAACAAAGGACCCAGTTGATCACCTACATGCTTTCTACTCCTGTATGCAAGCTTAGAACGCCTCTGATGCGTTGATGTGCAAAATCTTTCCGTCCACTCTTCGAGGCAATGCTCGAACTTGGTATTACAGTTTACCTCCAAAATCTATCAGCTCTTATACAGAAATGGCATCTGCTTTTCCTACAAAGTTTTCCAATAAAAGGTTGATTAGGAAAACCACTTCTGAGTTGATACGCATTAAGCAGAGGGAGGGAGAATCTCTAAAGAATTACATGAGCAGATTCAATGATGCAGTCCTGGAAGTTAGCTCATTCAATCAAGCTGTAGGAATCGTAGTTGTAATTTAAGGTCTTAACCGTGAAGATTCAAAGATAGCTTGATTAAGCATCCTGCTACCACTTTTAATGAGGTTAATGACAAATCTTTGAAATTCATAGCTGTTGAAGAATATGCCTTGTCACAGAAGCCAGTTCTTCCTAAGAACCAAAACCCAGATTGGAGAGATGAGGGTCAGAGCAAAAAGCGGATGAAGACAATACAAAATTGAGGTCCGATGTCAACCTCCACACCAAGATTTGGAAGACTGAACTCGGCACCTCCCCAACAAGCTACCAGTAAAGCACCAGTTACATGGACTCTTTTTAATCTGCCGAGGTCGTAGATATTCAGGCAGATCAAGAATAAGATGGATTTGAGGCGACCAGGGCCAATGAGAAGTTCTGCTGCTACAGGTGATCATACTAGATAGTGTGATTTTCATCAAGATCATGGCCATACAACGGAGGAATGTAATAGTCTGAGGTCCGAATTGGAAAGCCTAGCTCAGAAAGGAATGTTGAATGAATACATCTAGCGAACAAAGCAGCCTAAGTTTGTTAGAGAACAGGGTTCACAACCACAAAGATCCTGTAATGAAGGAAACATGATAGGAGTGGGATACCAACAAGCTCCACCACCACTCCCGCTACAAGCCAGAATTATTCATATGATAACGGGAAGATTGGAAGCAGGGGGTTTAAGCTCCAAACAAAGGAAGTTATATGTCAGAGAGGTCAAGCACTAGAACCGAGCTTAAAAAAGAAAGTTTGATGATGCTGACTGAAAGAATCAACCCATCACTTTCACACCTGCTGACTTCAATACAGTTATAACACCTCATAATGACCCTTTGGTCACTTTTGTTATGATTAACAACTGTGAAGTACTGCGTGTCCTTGTCGACACAGGTAGTGCATCAGACATCATATACTATCATTTTTTTGAGAGCCTATGGCTGGATCCAGCTCTACTACAGAAGTATGATGGTCCCATATATGGCTTCAAAAACCAACCTGTTAAGGTTGAAAGGGTCCTTATCCTTAATGTCGCGTTTGGAAACAGTCGGACTTATGTGAATCCCTCAGTTCGGTTTTTGGTTGTCAAAATGGCTTCCTCTTTCAATGTGGTTATTGGCCAACCTACATTAATAGAGATTCGAGCTGTGGTCTCTCAATCTCGCCTCTGTATGAAATTCCCAACCCCTATGAGAACAGCAACATTACGAGGTAATTAGGAGGTGGCTAAACATTGCTATATTACCTCGGTTACAAGGCCTCAGAAAGGGAAAGCTCAGACATCAGAAACCATTTCAAAACAAGTTCATGATAATCAGCAAGTAATGGGGGTTGAGATACTAGATAACCAACCTGAGGACGAAACTTGGGCTGCTCCGATAGAAGATGTAGAGGAGGTGCAAATTGATGACAGAGATCCGAACAGGAAAACCTAAATTGAAACTCGGTTGAACCTAGAGGAAAGAGCAGAGCAAATAGCTTTCCTCCGAGCTAACAAAGATGTCTTCGCTTGGATCTTAGCAAACATGCCAAGGATTCCAACCTCGGTATCTTAGCACAAGCTAAGCACCAATCCAATAGTTCAGAAACCAATAGTTCAGAAATGGCGCCTCTTT